AGTGCCTATTCCAATCGAAGACATTTTCACATTACCTATGGAAACGCACTGCTTTCTGAATGAAGTGAAAAATTTTCTCAAAACGGGAGTTGAGGCGGCATAACACATTGCAGATGTGACTAAAATGAATGAAATGAATCATTAAATAGGATGGAAAGTAATTTTTATTAAAATATTCTAAAATTTTAACATCATAATAAATATTTTAACAAATTTATTTACTCAACCCAAAAATAACTGCTAAGTACCACTAATAAACACGATTGTAAACAAGTCATCCAATCGTACTCACTGCTATCTCGAATTATAAAACATTAAAGAGCACGAGTCCAAAGTATCTCCACTAAGCAGTAAGTTACTACCACATTTTTATGTGATATTTTCCAAAAAATAAAAATTTTTTAAAAAATTTTCCAAAAAATAAACAGCGATAGCAGCAATAAATAAGCGATCATAGAGCAATATCGCACGAAGAGTCACGCTTTGATCACCACCAAATCAATCAAATCAATAATCGATCAATCAATAATCGAATTTAGATGAAGATTTCACGAAGACAGCGGCAGATAATAATGATTATTATTACTATCATAAATTTTACTACCGAGCAGCAGAGAAAGCGAAATGAAAAACTGGCATTCCAATAATAATTCTTAAATTCTCGGGAAATTTTTTCCATTTTTTCCAGAAAAGTGGAAAAATTAGGGAAATAAATAATGAAAAATGGAAAAATTTCAAAAAATAATTAAAAAAATAAAATAATAATAAATAAATAGTCATTAGTGTACACTGCCCTAATAATATCAGTCAATGTTGATAGTACATTGTAAAGTAAACAAATTTCAATCGCATCATCAACGCAGAACAACTCGCGGACTTTGTGAGTAAACTTTGTATGTTCTTTGATTTCTCCTCTCACATTTTATCGATCCGATTGATCACAGATCATAATCAGTGATCTAGTTATAAATTCGAATGTGATCACTATTACTATTACTATTACCATTATTATTACTATTATTACTGTTATTATTATTATTATTATTATTTTTATAAATATATTTTTGAGAAATCAACTGTAAAATGGAACTAACTTCANTAAGTAATAATAGTAACAGTAATAATAGTAATATTAATAATAATAATAATAATAATAGTAATAGTAATAATAATAATAACGACATAATGGCATAGTAACATAACAACACGTTACAAACGTTCGATAGCCTGGCCAATCCAGATAATCCAGGTAATAATAACAATAATAATAGTAATGTTAAATAATACATAATAAATAATAATAATAAATAATAATATTAAATAATACATAATAAATAATAATAATAATACTAACCGGGTCTAACGATTCCGTAGAGGATGCAAAGCTCGAGACACGATTCAGCTGCACCCCTGAGACGACAGGAGGCTCCTCATCCTCATCCCCAGTCGGCTCGTAGAAGTCAACCGGTCTAGAGTTGGGCTTGTGTGCCCCTTGCTGATCTTTTGCGGGATATCGATTTGAGATCGCCATTTCGGGATTGAGTTGGGCCGACGTGGTGAGGAGATTTTGATTGCTTGCGATTCGAGATTTGATTTTGGGCTGGACAGCCTTCAGTAAGGCCTCCTCGATAAAGCAGATAAACGGATCTATCTGGATTGGAAATGGGATTATTCGGGATTTAGTAAATCGCTCTATAAATCGCTTGGAAAGTTGCTAAAGTTATCTTATAGNAGTATTTTATCCGTTTTGATCACGTGAATAAACGGGTTTCTAAAAAGTTGCACGTGAATGGCACGTGCATCTGGAAAGATAACTGAGGATAAAATGTAGACCAACACTACATAATTTCGAATGAATGAACAATGAGGAGCAATTTCAGTGTGAGGACGGATTTGCATAGAGTGCTGAGCAAAGAATAAAGTCCAGAATAAATGGACGGACGGCATGATACCGTTCACGTGCCATTCACGTGTGACTTTTTAGAAACCCGTTTATTCACGTGATCACCAAGAAAACCTAAAACCGAAAACAATATTGCATGCAAAATCCGCAAGAATCACGATGACAATTTACATTAAAGAATTCTGCTATAGTGAGCGAACAAAATAAAATTTAATGACATTTTTTGCAGGAAATACCTTCAAAACGAAGTGATCTAGTGAAAAATTCAAATGAAAATTTCAAATTTTCAATAAGATTTTATAAGGTTGCAAGCGAATAGCTAGCTTATCGATACGTTCTCGAAACTAATTAATTTAATTAATTAATAGCACTGAAATTCCTGGTTCGAATCCGGCAAAAAGCATCTAGTAGGCTTGAATAGACAGTATAAAGGTGATCTGACGATTTAGTCAAGAAATTGGGAGAAAATAGGGGAGAACTAGCAGGAAAACGAGGGCAGCGAGATAAACATTGGGCTGTTGGTCAGTTGACCTGGTCAATT